AAAACCATTGTTAATTGTTTTGTTTGTATGTATGTGTGTGTGTGTTTGTCACTTGCAACAAAAATATCTGATAAAAATAGAAAAGTCTGAAGGGTAACATCATTGATAGAAACAAAGAAGTACAGAAGGAACTAATTTTTGGAGGAAGAAATGATAGTTTTATTTTGGAATGGTTGATTTGAGTAGATATTGCAGTGTGCCTCTACTTACTATTGGAGGCATTTAAAATAGTAGTTATATTAGAACCAGATTGCCCATGCTCCAAACCTGGCTCTGTCAGTTACTAGCTGTGTGACCCTAAGGTGGTCATCTAATCTCTCAATATTTCAGTCCCCTCATCAATAAAACAAAGATGATAACAAATGGTTGAAGTTGAGAGCAGATAATATGTTTTTAAGAGAGAAAACATAGCATGAGTTAATATACAATGAAAGTAAAGAATCAATAACTATTTTATATCTACATTATGGGATGTGGACATAAGTGGAGTCAGTGGAGGAGGAGATGGAGCAGAATCATTCAGAAAATAGGAGGAGAAACAGGAAAGCAAAATATTGAAAAAAATCAAGGGAAATGCTATTTTAAGAAAGTAATGCTCAGGAGTTTAGATTGTTGTTAGAAATAAAAAGAGAATAGGAACTAATTAATGGCTTTTTAATTTGAGGGATAGAATGAAATGTTTTTAGCACAGTGAAAGGTAAAAGGATTTAAGTTGAGAAGTGAGGAGATACAAGGGAGTAAACATTACTTGTACACCTATTGTACTTCAACTATGGAACTCTTGCAATGAAAAATACATTTCCCATGTATACTCTTTATTATGTGCTAGACATTACTATATATTATATGAATTTACACATTACTGAACAGGATTATATAAATAAGATTATGCATGCTACCCTTTGAATAATTGGAAGGGCTTTTTTTTTTTATTGGAAGGGCTTTTTAAAAGTGATTTTGACTATATTTGATTTGCACATTATGGGCCGACTTTAGAACCTAACCCTTATGTAGGATATAGCTCCAGTATAGTGTATACCCATATAGCCCATATGGATATAGACTCTTCTCTACTTGGTATAATTTTACATGTATGGTGGAAGAGACTAACGGACAAGGTTTTGCCTTGGAGAGAAATCATCTGGTTCTATTTCTTTACTTTCCAACTAGTAACTTTGTGTGAAATCATTTAACTTCCATCCTCAAGCTTTTTCCTTTGTAAATTCTGAAACCTCTCATATTAGTACATAGGAAAAGTGTGATAACATATTTGAACTCCTGAAAGAAGTTAAGCTTTTAGTTGTTATTAAAACAGAACAGTTTAGACTGGTAAACCACTGAAGTCCCTTTTGAAAAGTAATAATGAGGTAGTGAATTTAGTTATCTTAACTTAAAAAAAAAATTGGGGGGGTGGGGGTACCAGGGATTGAACTCAAGAGTACTTGACCACTGAGCCACTGTTTTATATTTTATATCCCAGCCCTATTTTATATTTTATTTAGAGATAGGGTTGCTTAGTGCCTTGCTTTTGCTGAGGCTGGCTTTGAACTCGTCATCCTCTGCCTCAGCCTCTGGAGCCACTGGGATTATAGGCGCGCACCCCTGTGCCCAGCTAAAAATATTTTTTTACTGTTTTATAGGATATGTATTAAAAGTTTGGAAACAAGAAGTATAAAAAAGAAAAAAACCTCTAATTCTTTCATTAAGAGATAACTAATATTTTCTTCCTTTGGCATTTCCACTTTTATTTGCCTTAAAATTACATCATTCTTGTCATATCATGTTTGTGTGCTGATTCTATTCAACTATGTTAATATAGTTTTTATAGACTTTCTATTTTAGAGTTTTGGGTTCACAGCAAAATTTCACAGAAGGTACAGGGAGTTTCCACAGACCTTTTCCCCCATTGTCAATATTCCACAACATGGAAGTTTGTTATAATTGATGAATTCAGATTGCTACATCATTATCTCCCAAAGTTCACAGTACACATTGGATTCACTTTGTGTGTTGTGTATTCAGTGGGTTTTGATAAATATATAGAAATATGTATCAACATAGTATCATACAGAACAATTTCACTGCCATAAATATTCTCTCAGCTCTGCCTGTTTATCTTTCCCTCCCCCAGCCGTACTTTTTACTGTCTCCATAGTTTTGCCTTTTCCTGAAGGTCTTATGGTTGGGATCAAACATATTTGGCCCTTTTGGATTATTTTTTTTTCATTTTATAATATGCATTTAAAATTTCTACATGTCTTTTGATCTCTCTCTCTCTCTCTCTCTCTCTCTCTCCCTTTCTCTCTCTCTCTCTTTTATAATGTTCCATTGTCTGAATTTATCATAGTTTAGTTATCCATTCACCTACTAAATTACCTAAGTGACATCTTGGTTACATCCATGTTTGGGAGATCATGAATAAAGATGCTGTAATCATGTTTCCAGGTTTTGATGTAGACTAATTTGGATAAAGCTTTAATATATTTTTCATTTGATAGTCTTTAAATATTTTAATAAACTCAGAAAAAATGGAAAAATGATCATTTTTAAAGCTTGAATAATAATTATTATGCATAAGGAGGTCTTACATTGCTAGAGGGTTTGCAAAAAGTAGGTGTATTTTGTAATTAAAGGGTAAATGTTTTCTTTCTATCATTTTTTCTGGGGCCCAGATTTGAATCATATTGATGAGCAGAGTAGTCCATTACCAATAAACTCAAATGACTTCTCTCTTGATCTTGAAAGAAAGAATGAGGAAGTGATAATGTTAGCTCTGCTGTGTTGATCTAAAAATGATATTATGCAGATACTTGTCTGATAGATACTGCACTTTTACAAATGACATTAAATGAATGTATGAATGTAAAATGACAAACTGTTTTGGAATATGTTCAGCTGTTGGCTGGTGGTGAGAGATGATTTATCTGATGCCAGCCTTAATTTTTCATTTTTCACATTTTTGCCCTTCTCATTTTTTTGGTAGGATGTAAATAAAATAGAGTAATATATAAATTAGCATCGAATTATAAGATCAGAATTTTATCACCTCTAGTGTTTGTAGTACTTGATTATTTTTTAARAAATGTTTTTTAGTTGTTAATGGACCTTTATTTTGTTTATTTATATGTGGTTCTGAGAATCAAACTCAGTGCCTTGCACATGCTAGGCAAGCGCTATGCCACTGAGCCACAATTCTAGCCCCAGTACTTGATTATTTTAAGTGGTTCATTTCTGTGCAACTAAAAATATATTTATATTTAATGTCTCATTAGATTATTTTAAATTTAACATTGTATCTGTATGCTAGGCTACCCCATTTCTTTTATCCATGTTTCAAGATAATCTATAAATGTAATATATAAGARTTTGGGGCTGGGATTATATTTATATATAATTTGGCTCAGTGGTATAGTGCGTGCCTGGCAAGTGTGAGGCACTGGGTTCAATCCTCAGCACCACATAAAAATAAATTTAAAAAAAAGGTATTGTCTCCACCTACARCTAAAAAAATATTTATTAAAAAAAAGAATTTGATGATGGTACAGTTGAATGTTGATATTTGAAAGAATTTAGTTTTATCCCTGAAATTACCACTTTAAAACAAATTATGTTTGATGAGTCATATAAATACTGTTGATATTTTTCAGCATTGTCTGTACYTCATGTATACTTTTCAGAATCTTTTCCTATTGGTCTTGATTGCCAATAGGAAAGTTTCTTTCTGTCAAAACATTTTTCAAAGTTTTTTACTCATTTTTTGTGAAAATTGTTTTAATTCTTAAAAAGAACTTAAGAGAAAAATTTAAAATTGCTTAGAGTACTTTTGAATTCCAAATCTACAGACTGTAGAAGTTGTGGGTGCCTTCATAAAATTCTAGGTGTTGCTTTTTTTTTATGTAATGCATCTTTAGGAGGTAATATGTAAACTGTGGATATTACTATGTATGAGAAAACTACTATTCTTATTGATTATATTATTGCAGAAATATTTCACTCAAAATATTTTTAAACATAGGAATCTTTTAAAAAACTTAAACATAACTTTATATTGTTGCTTTTTGTCTTTTTAACAGTTTTTTGAAGTAGGGAAATTGGATGTCYTTAACCATTTTATAGATGATAGGTAATTTATTCAAGGTCACATTGAGGTAAATTATAGAACTGAGATTAGAATGGACCTTCTGACTCCATTTAATTTTATCTGTCTTTGGGTAACAAACAGTCTTTTACCATATTTTATCATAATTAGTAATACCATTTTGGTGTATTGCTACAACCAAAAAAAAAATTACAACTTAACTCTTTAACATGCCTTCAAACTAATATGACTAGAATATTTGCTTGTGGAGTGATCCCATAGGGTTGAAGTGAATATGTAACTTTTTATTTTTTAAAGGTGACTAGAAATATTGCTTTTATTGAGTAGAATGTCTGAATTGATGGGCTCCTCTTTAAATGAAAAATGAAAGTCAATAGTAGCACATTTCCCCCCTCCTTTCCCCTTTGTCTAATCCACTAAACTTCTATCCTTCTCCCCTACCTTATTGTGTGTTAGCATCCACRTATCAGAAAGAACATTCGACCTTTGATTTTGGGGGATTGGTTTATTTCACTTAGCATGATAAGTTTATGGCAAAAGTCATGAAGTCATTCTTTTTATGGCTGAGTAATATTCCATTGTGTACTTTTCTTTATCCATTCATCTTTTGAAGGGCACCTGGGTTGGTTCCATAGCTTAGCTATTGTAAATTGAGCTGCTATTAACATTGATGTGGCTGTGTATGTAACTATTTTTAATGGAGAAGCATGTATTTAACTATAAATAAACTATATAATGCTAATTCAACTTTAATCTTTTAGCCAAAACAATGAAAATAATAGCACTGGATTAATGTAAACAAGAGACGGTAACAAGAAGGCTAAAACACTATGTTTTGTCATATGTCTCTAGAGTCCCCTATTACATCCAGTAAGGCAATCTTCTGTACTTTCTTTTACAGATGCTGAAGATTTCTTCYAAGGAGAAATATCCCTTATTTACTTTTGTAAATGGTCATTCCAGAGACTTTGACATTACATCTACCACAACCAATGAAGAAGACCTTTTCTTAGAGGATGAGAAGAAAAGATTAAAAAGAGTCAGCACAGAAGAGTTTGTCCTACTATAAAGAAGAGAACATTTGTGCCCTTTGAAAAGAACACTGAAAGGGGAAGATGAAGAGGAACAAGTACATTTGAAAGTGTTTGTTTTCACAGATATCTTAATTTTGTATGTTCTTTAAAAATGAAACATTTGAAAATATATAAATTTAAAGATATTTTTCTGAAAGAGAAATGATTTAATGAATATTGCTTTCTAATATATATTAAGCAATTCTGATTGCATTCCTATTTCTGTAACTCTCTAGTGAAACACTACTTTCACTGTAAGCCTTTTCTTCATTCTTGCATCTGAGCCCATTGTTCTCCTGAAAGTTTTATGGCATAGACCCCTTCAAAGATTGGATACACTAGATAGCTTCAAAAAAACTCAGTTTGTATTAACAATCAGAAGACCAGAGAATGAATTTTAGTGCTACCTAAGCCTCCTGCTATTAGTGCAACCAGAGGCTACTTTTGGATATATATTAATAATTAGATAGTATTTGCTACCTATGATGTACATATAATTATAAATAAGCAGAATTCTGAGTTAAGGTAATACCAAGCAATATGATTTTATAATGGTTATTTGTTTGTGCTTGCTTTTTAGTCTTTTATGAATAGTAAATATAAACAATTGATTTTTCCCATGAATTTAAAGGTTATGTTATTAATAAAACTGCATCCATTCAAATCAGATAAAGGAAATTATAAAATAGCAATAGTGCTTGCTTCCTATCTCAAGAATGAAATTTTATGAGAATTTAACTTAATATGCAGTTTTTAAATCTAAGATAAGTACCATAAAGATAACAATAGATCCTCCTCTGGTTTTGCTGTTTGTATACAGCAGTATATTAGTGTTTAGAAGCCAAGGCCATTTTCAAGGTAAATCTGCCTTAAGTGCATTATACGTTACTTAAAGGTAAATTTGTGATATAAAAATCCAGGACTTATTGTTGAGCCAGGATTATAAACTAAATAATAAAGATGTGAGAACATAAAAGGCCTTTGTTTTGGTTTTAATGTTGGGATTGTTTTAATCCTTTCATTTGAAAAATCATTATCTCAAGTGAATTCTATTTATTTATAATGATAGCAAATAATATTGTTGTTCTGAAAACAAAATATTAACTTATTTTATAGAGATTCTGTTTTTCAATGTGTAATGGTGACTCATTATAAAGATGTAAAATTTTGCATCATCTAAAGCCATTGATCTATTCTATCAGGAGAGTCTATTTATTTGGAATTGCATGTAAAGTTGAAACAGGGTGGGCACATTGCTTTCCTATGCCTGAGGGGAGAAATCAGATTTGACATTTCCAGGGAGAATGGTTTATTGAATTGAAATAAATGGTCTAAAAGCTAAAATTTTTCTTTTCCTTGGATGAAATCTGGACAAATTATGTCCAGTACTAATTTTCCTAGAATGTCAAAGCAGTATGGGAACAGAAGCCAGTGGTGCAGATTTTATATGCTACAGTCCTTTTATCTTAGCTATTTCAATTTACTGTTCCCACACAGCTGCAGTTGTCATAGGGTTCCACAATAAACACATCAAATGATAGCACTCATACCTTCAAATGGATCAGAACTAATTATAAGTATTCTCTTACAAGAATTGTGCAAAAGCTTAGATTTATAGGGTAGCCTTATTATTTTCCCAGCTTATTTAGGGATCACTTGTAAGTAAAATTTTAGAATGAGACAAATGACCTGGACAAAAATAAGGTGAGAGGAGAYAAAAACTTCCTTTATGTTGAATTGTATTGGAAAGGCTGTGTTCAGAATATTGAACAAACAAATCTTACAATATAGTCATCCACATGACTGGAGTAAATGTTTAGAATCAAATTATGAACAATAATATACATATAAAACTATTTAATAATAATAAAAAATATCCAATAATATGTATGAATGAATGAAATTTGAAAGAAGCGGATAAATTTATCTTGCTTACTTGCTAATTTGGCTTTATCTGAGAACCAGCCAGAGGTTAGGCTTATCTTTTCTTGGGAAGGCAGCAACAAAACTATCATTAGGTTTAAAATAAAGGTACTATCTGTCCTGTTTCAGACTTTGTTTTAAACACAGATTTCATTTCAAGTTCAAAGAACCAGTAGGTTCAGTAAGTAAAGTTTATGGACCATCTCTTTCAGTTGGAATAAAGGAACATCAAAAAGGATAAGATTCTAAGAATTGTGGGGGGATCCTCCATTTGGACATCAATATTAAGATACTGGATTTTACCATTAACATTTCAGAAATGAATTTTTAAGATTCTCAATATGTCTTTTTGATGGTGAAGGCTTCTTGTGTCTCTTCTTCATTAGATTTGATACTTTGAATCCCTCTTTGTCAATGTATTAACCACCAGCGGGCAATTTTGAAAGTCATCATTTGCTAAATGAGTGAATGAGAAGATCCTTTATGGAATAAGTATATCCAAAAAAATTTTCCCTGAGGTATTCATTTTTCTGCTTTTACATTAAACAAACCCCATTAAATATATTTTAGAGGAAACTTTTATAGGATTAAAATTTAGGTCACTTTTCTGTTCTGTTAATCTTAGGATTTAATATTGTCCAATGACAAATATCTAAAAGTAGATATGTTAATTCCAACTTGGGTTTAGAGGAATTAAAGAAAAATATCAGCAAAAATTACTTATCTGTACAATCTATGCAATCTTAGGTCTGAACTCTAACACACACACACACACACACACACACACACTCTCTCTCTCTCTCTCTCTCTCTCTCTCTCTCTCTCAGAAATCTCTAGTTACCTTCTATTATTCTATATCAGAGAGCACTTTACTTCTGGTCAAATCACACTAACCAAGTGGATTTCCTAATTTTCTTCTACTGGGGATAAATTTCATTTTCATAGTTGACCCCAGATTGCCTTCAATGGCTTGCACTTGACATCTTAAATATTTTTGACTACATATTCAAGTACAAGTATTTAAAAAAATGAAGTGGTTTTCTGAAACAGGAAATGAGAAAGGGTGAAATAATGAAAAAGTATTTATAAATATTAAATCACTATATGAATTGTTATTGAATACATACATTTGTTTATGTACTTATTTCAGGAAGAAACTAGGAATGTAAAATTCTTGTGAAATAGAATCAAGATATACCAGATGTATGGTAAAGGCAATTTCTTGGAAAGTAAAGGGATTATTATTTTCTACAAAAAGAAGAGTAAATGGTTTCAAAATAAAATTAGAACAGTATTTATCAAGTGATATTTTTTGTAGTTCAGTGTTGTCAATCAACCACAGTTCAATAGTGCTATTCATTGAGTAGTGAAACATCAGACCACAAAAAATTGGAAACATTCTATCGATTACAAAATATAAATTTTATGTCATTTTATAGTTTGAATCTTAAGTCAGTTTAAAAATCTTAAGCATTTTTGTGTGGCTTTCATGGTTATTTAAAGACTTTMTCCTTGCCTATAAACTTTGAAAAATATTGTATTTAGAGTTGGTATTGCAGACACATTTTGAGTTAGCATTTCCCTCTCTTTCTTTTTTACAGTCTTCCTTGACATTATTGGTGGCAAGCAATGGCCCAAAACATTCACAACTACAGTTATAAAATTCCACTTACTCTCTCACAATGATAAGAAAAATATGTTAAATGTGGAGAATACRTGTTTATCATTAGATAGAAAAATTACTTTTTTACTGTGTTACCCTCTAACCAATTTTTCCAGAAATTTAGAAAYTCAGTCATCTAAGAGTGAGTCATTAAAAAAAAAGTATTCTATAGAGAAGTAGCTTTTGTTTAAATTATTAAAAATAGATGATACATATAACATTTATATTTTATGTTAAGATAATATAAATTGATAAGAATTAATAAATGGGTTTTAAAAGTTGTTGTATAAGCAGGAAAAGTAAACAAACATTGGAAATCCAGTAGAAGGAAATCTGAGAACAAAAGTTTGAGGAAATTATTGACAACACATTTTGAGTGTCTAGGCAAATACACCATAGTATGCTAAAACAGATAAAATATATAAATTTAAAAGGCTGGTATGGTTTAAAATTGAGTGTAGGCACAGGAAGGTAGTAAATACTGACTGATAACAGAGAGGGGATCTGCAGCTGCCATGCTACACAACTCCAGGAGGCACTATTGTTAGTATATGTTGTGTGCGTGGTACTCCCTGGAGTTGTGCCATGTGGCATTTCTTCTAATATTTATGTACTGCTTTCTTTTTACTCAGCACTGTTCTGATCTGTTTGCTTGTATTAAAATACAGCAAATGAATTAAAGATTGGGAGACTAGAGCTGGGATTAATAGGGCAATTAATATGAGTCATGGGATTTGAATGATCAACAGTGGTTCAGGTCAGGAGAGTCCATTGTCAAWAGTCTAATTGCAATAGAGGTTTTTAGGGCTGGGGATGTGGCATAGTGGTAGAGCACTTGCTTAGCATGCATGAGGTGCTGGACTCAATCTCCAGCACTGCAAAAAAAAAAAAAAAAAAAGTTTTTAACGGAGGATACGCATGTATAATACTTTTGTATATTTAAATTRGATCCTGGGCTGGGGATACAGCTCAGTTGGTAGAGTGCTTACCTTGCATGTACAAGGCCCTGGGTTCAATCCCCAGCACCACCAAATAAATAAACAAGTTCCTAAATACTTTTAATAGATATAATAGAAAAAATTCTGTTCATACTTTTACTACTTAAACACATTAATTTTTCTACAGTTATTTCTATTTTAGGTTCATGTTCATGTTATTCTTTAAGCATGTTTAATGGGTTGAGTTTGGATTCCTATTTAATTTAACCATATTTTATTTGATGAAGAGGGCCAGCAACTATTCAGTCTTTCATATTTTGCTTTATACATTAACTTTTTTTTGTGGCTCTGGCTTGCATTATACTCTTTCCTATGATGTGTAACTGGTTTCTAGACCTAATTCACTGTTCTTTCTTTGCTGGTTTTATGACTGCCAGCCCAGAGGTATATAAAGAACCTCTTTATTTTTGTATGTAATTTGTTCCTATAAACACTTGGAATAGTACAATATAAGGAAACTGAATGATAGATGTTTTAAAACATTGTTTTCAAGGGAAGGTTTGTCCCAGGGAGTTTAAAATATAAAAATATTAAAAAGTGTTAAATTATTTTAATCATACTGACTTGACAGGATCTTGATACAATTCCAGCATTTCATATATGTTTTTTTATTTTTGTTCTTTAATAGTAGAACATATAGTTAACTTTAAGTCACCCATGTATTTTTACTGAGGCTAGTGAATTTTTTTATGATTTTTTTTTATTTGTTAATTAGGTTAAACTTATGACCTACATTTCTTACCACTAGTTTTATCACTTAGGTTTTTCTGTTTTTCCCCACATATTTACAAACTAAATACTAATGTCAAATCCAGTAATTGTATAAYCTGCTATTTGTGGTGATTTTGGGTTGTTAGATTACTTATGTTATATATCTACACAAGTCCAAGAAAAGTCTTTTCATGATCTCCATCTATGTTACCCAGCTTTACATTACTATAACAAAATACCTGGAACAATCAGCTTAAAAGGAAAAAAGGTTTATCTTGGCTCACTGTTTTGAAGGTTTCAATTCATGATCAGCTGGCCCCATTGCTTTTGGTACTGTGGCAAGGCAGGAGTGCATGGTAGAAGAAGTTGCTCATTTCATGGAAAACAGGAAGAGAGGCCAGAGTCCTAATAGTCCCTTCAGGGACTCACCCTTAGTGGCCCAACTTCCTAACACCAAGTCCTACCTCCTAAAGTTTCCTCCACCTTCCAAAAGTGTTATGTGCAGAGGACTAAGCCTTTAACCCCTGGACCTATGGGAGACACTGTCCAAAACATAGCACCACTCTAGTGAGTGTCAAGTGGTAAATCATGGTTTTCTTTTTTAAATAATAGCCTTATAAAGATATAATTAATTTATTAAACAGTTCACTCTTTCTAGTATACAGTTCAKAGGTTTATAATGTAGTCTAAGAGTTGTACAATGATGACCATTATCAAATTCCAGAATATTTTTCATTACCATAAAAAGAAACCCTATATCTGTTAACTGTCATTCTGTAWTCTCCACCCCTCTACTTCCCACTCCCAGCCCTTACAATCACTAATCTTTTCTCTATGGATTTGTCTATTCTTGATGTTTTATTTAGTTGAAAACATGCAATATAAGGACTTTTGTTTTGACTTCTTTCACTTAGCATAATTTTTTCAAAGTTCATTCATGTTATAGCAGGTATCAGTACTACATCCTTTTCTTATACCTGAATGATATTTCATTAGACA